AACATGAGAGTGATGCTGTCACTCAGACCAGTCTGCCTACACAGGGAGGAGAGGGGCTTCTCAGCTATGTGAAGAGCGTGCCTTCGAAACATTAGTCAACAGCAGAACGGACAACAGGTGCTTTGGGAAGTTGATGAGGTTTCTCAGTTATGAACATGAGTAAAGTGTCACTAGTCCTTGACCTCTTCCTTTCAGCTTTCCAGAAGTGAATGTCGAATAGGAAAGCCAGCCTATGATCGAATGCGACAACTTTGATCTCGAAAACGGCTTTTACCTGAATCTTATGCATTCACTGTCAGTCATCGCGCTTCTTATCAATTTGTTCGCCATATATTGTATTGTCTGCAAATCAACGAAGCAAATGGGTACATACAAATGGTACCTGTTTGCATATCAAATAGCATCTACTGCATTCGACCTCGTTTACACGGGTCTTACCCTACCTGTCATCTTCTTTCCAATACCAATGGGTTACCCAGGCGCATGGATTGCACAGTGGTTATCCATCAGTTCTCATGCCGCAGTCATCTCAGTGATTTTAACGTGTTCTCTACTTGTTGCCACTATTCTCAACCTCTTCAATTATCGGTGCCACTTGGTCACTCCAAACTATCACTTTTTGAAGATCAACGCAAAAGGTAGGTTATTCATCATTTGTAGTTTCTCCAGCTGTTGTCACATCTTTATCGACACTGAAAGGGCTCCTCAAAGGCCAACTAGCTCACTTCGAACTTTCAGCTAAGGAGAGTGATCTCCTGTTTTTAGGTCATGTCTACACTAGGGGTGCTATGTTCGTAATATATATTTTATTTGTGTTTAGCTGTTATAATTGGATTTTACCGGCATCAAACGGCAGGTAGAAGTGTGCTTGGCAGGTACTTCATTGAAAAGCTGCTGCGCTTACAAGGAGGTTGTATCAAAACGTGATGGCGCCTTGCCGAAAAACGACGCCTATATGCAACCTAAAAAAGTCAAAACAATTTGTTAAAAATCAATTACTTCAGTTTAAGGGATTAAACAGTGGTTCCTGATCACGATTATAGACACTTCACTGCACGCAACTGGCACTAGCGTATACACTGAAAATCCCCTAAACGAGTTATGACGCGAGTTCAGTGAAAGTAAGATGTGGCTTCAAATTAGCACCACAGCTTAGAGTAAGGACCATATCCATGATCTGATCACTGATCAGCCTATAAGGATCGGTAGGCCTGGTGAGGGTAATGGAAACGAAATCTGTTCTTTGACTTAGCGATTCATATTGCGCTGTATTGGCCGACTACACATTGTATGCTAAGTAGTGCAGGATCCTAAGCCTTGCTCTATCTGTTACGATTCGATCACTACAGCGCCGTATGAGCAGCCCACTATTGAAAAGGTTCCGTTAAAATTATGGAGCGCGCCTGGCGAAGCCAGGCCAGCTCGGCGAAGCCGAGCTAAAGAGAAGGAGGAGAGCTCGGCGTCAGCCGGGCGATCCGACTGGTGATGAAAAAATCGAGCAATATTAAAACTGGACAACATCAGGGCAGTGAAAGTAAGTGTGTCGTGTACCAGTGAACCATGTGAATAACCATTTCAATTCTACCATCTACCAGACCTTTAATAAGAGGAAAGTGAATTTTCTAGTCGTGTGCAGCGCACACTTGTCACCATCTGTGTCTTCGGAATCCGTCAGAACAACAGCACTTAACGGTTGTGCTGCTTCCTCAAGCTGACACAGATGCTGTGACCGCCTTGGACTCTGGCGATGACGGATGGCATCACCTTGTCATGATCCTAGCGGCTGAGATGCCGTGGTTGCTCCTGCATATGGAGAAACATCTTAACCTACCTTATCTTGAATTGGGTGATCCATGTTCCGTGCCACCCTGTGCAGAGTGAAACTCGATGGTGCATTCCACTAGCAAGCCATTTTTTTCCACTAGCAGACCATTTTTTTGTCTAATCACTCCCTGTAGAACTAAAATTATGAACAGTGTAAATGACTAGAATTATGAACAGTGTAAATGCGACCACATTTGTTTGGGGACTTATGATCGTGTTTCAGGAGTACTCATGTGCTGAATCTGCGATACATGTCCCACATCTTACAGTATTCATCCTGAGCAAAGTGAAACGCATTGTTATGACTGTCGTAGCACTAGCGATTTTAGCGCTTGTGCTTTGCGTGGTGTGGATTTCTCTAACGATCAATTTCATTGGGGGAAGCGGTCATTTGTCCGAAAGAACGAGGCAAATGCAGAGGCGTTTTCTCATTTATCTTTGTATCCAGGTAAGTAATGCTGCTATTGCCTTGTTGAGAACCTTACTTTCTCGTTGAATCTGCTTTACATAAAATCAGACCTTGTCGTGGTTCAGAGGCAGTCCGCTCCTTCAACCGCTCAAAAACACGAACGCATCGGAAGATGGTTCAGAGCCCAGCCGTGAGTCCGCGCGGAATCCCAGGAACTCAACGTCAATCCTAAGGAGTCCTCCTCGGGGACCGCACTGGTCTCTCCCCCAGTGCAGCCTCCGCTCCCCGAGGGTCTACAGGGTTCCTATCCCAGGGGGGTTGTGGGGGGAGCTTGCGGTAGCACTGTCCCCACGGCTGGTCTACCCCTGGCCCGGCCACAAGGACCAGACCAGGGATTCCCTGGCCGCTGGACGCACAACCGGTAGGACAAAGCATAACACACAAGCCTACAAACTGCATGACACAACATCCTACAGCGCCTTAGTCGGGCCCCAGCCCTGGCGCTCCCCTGTGCTTGCCCTGATACATGAAACAAACAACACAAACTATAAACACTCACATTTATTGTCGCGGGAAACCTTGAACATCTGCCAACCTTCTTTCTCCTACTCTCATTCCTGCCGTTGTGGACGACCAATCCATCGGACCATAGTTGACATAGTTCGCGGTAAGAGCGGCAAGGTTACTCTGCCGGCCTGCGCGAGTGATAGTCCTCGTGGCGACAGGTGCCACTCGGACCTGCACTCCACGTGAGCCTGACATTGACCTTCTCTGCAGGCAGGAAAGGAGTACTTTCCTTCCCGCAGGGAAGGGATGCCAAGAGAGCAACGCTGCGCGGAGTCTCTCGCCGGCCGCTTTATATAGCAGCACGCAGCGGGACATCACGTGGCCCGCGCCTATTGGTTGACGCGGAGCAGCGCATAGTTTGGCCGTAGGGCGCGACAGAGCTCAGGCGCTCGGCGAGCCCGGGGCAACAGTCGCGTTCCGCGACAGAACCTTGCCATAAGGAAGCCGCACCAGAATAAACCGTTGCACATTTTGCCAACGTTTACAAAATACCTCAATAATACTACCAATCAGGGCACATTGTTGTTGGGCAACCCCTAACAGGGGGCGGGGGTCGTATTTGGCCGCCAGGAGAGGGGAGCGTCGTATTTGGGCTAAGGAAAATTTATTTTGATAGTTGATTTTTCTCTCTTCACGGACGTTGTGATAGGGGAGGTCGTATTTGCTCACTGTTGGAGGGGGGGATCGCATTTATTTCCTGAAACCTCTCTACTTTCTAGGAGTGTGGGAGGGTGGTTAACATTGGTTACTCTTCGTGGTTTTAATTAGTTTCATGGCCTACATATGCCTATAATACACCCCCGCTGATTGGTCAAGATTCGATGAAGGAGGGACGGGGAGGCGGGTGGGAGACTCGTACGCAAACCCCAGAAAAGAGGGGGGTCGTACGGACTCCGGAGCAAATCCCGCAACCAAATGATGTGCCCTGCTACGATATCCCAATCCGATGTTCGTTATTTGATAGTTTGAATAAGCTAGGTTCAATCTTGTTCTTGAAAATAGTGCTGCTTCATAGAAATCTTGATTTGTTACTTGAAAGGCTTGATCTCACCTTGTAAGACCAATCTGTTTTAGTGTATGTCGGTTCTATATAAGTGATTCTTAGTGGATGATTAGAGATCATTGTTCGTTTTTTCGTGTTCGAGTTTCCATGTAGTCCTTTGACTGTGAGGAATATGGTTTTGAAGACTTGTCCCTTCGAGGCATTACCAATACGTTTATCCAATAATAATGGTGCTCTCAATGACAGAAAAAGGTCGCATTATGAGACGATGCATCTGCTGAACGAATCTACAAAACCCTGGAAGTGCGAAAGGAGATGGGGTGTCTTATGGAACTTCCCTCTAAAGCACTGACTGACTTATACAGTTTGCCTCAGTGTTTAGAATTCCATGTCGGGGGCCATTCTCTTGGTTACCAATCTTCCTTATTATTTTCAGCTCGCATTTATTGAATATTCCGAGTATATATCCAAGATTTCTTCCTTCTGGGGGTTAACCGTTCATAATGCATTGGTGTGTATTTTTTTATCCAGATTGCGGTCTTCTTCAGGTGGCTGTTCCTGCCTTCACTATGCTCGTACCGATTTTGATCTTAACCTATGTTTTCGGGACAACAAACAACACTCAACGAGGTTTAGCTAATTGTTACCTCACATCCCTTCACATTGTTTAAAAATCTTTTTAAATTGACGCCCTGTTGGTAATCCGAAATGCCATTCCCATGTTAGAGAGGCTTCTATGCCACTTGTAAGAAGGAGACTAACAGCGTGCCTAACAGCTCATGATCAAAAATGGGTGTAGTGGTGAAGTCTCACTCCGCAACGATGCTTCTTGGGTGCAGGCTGGCCAGGCAGTTACCATTTCGCATAGTTTTTACCGGTAACTAGTCGCACCGTAAGCTAACTGGAATTCTAATTTACAGAAGCTCACTAGAATGATTATGAGTTGAAGAATTGAAACAGGCATAATTTTCAAAGAGCTAACGACAGCCAATACTAGATCTGGGGAATGCAGCATGCGCTTTGGTTGCATCACATGGCTGCGTGGCAGCTCTATCGCTGATCATGTGTAACGAGCCATATAGGAGGTTCGCCACAATTCACGTGATAAACGGTGAGTTTTTCCAGTGAAATGTGGTTTAGAAAGGAGGAGCTATTGGAAGTTTGCACTACGCTGTAATTGCTCTAACGTGATTTTCTTCCATTATAACGTGTAGTGTGATCGCCTAAAGGTTTCCCTGAGCCCTGAGACGAATAATGGGCTTGACTTGTTGCAAATAGTGCAGTTTGCAGTAGACATAATATTGGTTAGTAGTAGCTGCTACGATTCTCTCATACAGTTAGCAGTGATAAGTCTCTCTGATACTCTTCTGCTGAAAACCAGAACAACTCCCATAACCTGATAACTGTTTAAAGGTGCAAACAGTGCTACTTGCGCCAATGCCGGGTGCCACATAGGTGACCAATTATCGGTTGACTCGCTTGCTCTGAACTACCCTCGTCATCCGGGCAGTTGATTAGGGCGGTCGTCAACGGGCCGCAGCGCGTGCCAGGAACTATTTGCTTTTTCCAGGCTAATTTAGTCATTTTTTCCAACTTTTCACTGTTTTGGCTACTTTTTCCCAGAGCAGCTCCTTATCTTCACAAGGTGGAAAAAATGACTAAATTAGCCTGGAAAAGCAAATAGTTCCTGGCACGCGCTGCGGCCCGTTGACGACCGCCCTAATCAACTGCCCGGATGACGAGGTAACTTCGAAAACGATTGGCTCCGTTGATCGCCGATTTGGTTGGACATTCAAAGTTGCTCTG